TATGTCAGGTATGAAGGTGGCTACTGGCTGACTAGTTACGAAGACAGTGTATTTTCAGCTTCATCAAGTTCCACATCTTGTAAATAATGCATATGGACTTCAAAGCGAGGAATGTATACGAAGGCTCAATGCGGTAAGTTTCATCTGCTGCGGGTGCGCCAGTACTTGAATCATTGCTATTGACGGTCATCAACTACAGAGGACTTCCCAAACGATAACGTTGCCGGTTTTTGGTGTACGCCACGCGTTCGATTCACGTTAAATTTCTGACGGTTCTCACGCGTACCTCACTTCTAGCACACCTATGGAGAACTGGGCCACGTTGAAGTCAATTTCCTGTCCTGCAGTACTTTCGCGCCCACTCAACAATTCCGAAATGGCGAGAAGCTTGCTGACGTCTAAAGTTCTCGAGTTAAAGCGTTGAAGGATCTCGTCCAGTAATGGTGGTGGTAATTTCGTCAAAGTTGCCGCCGCCTAGAGAAATTGAATTGGTCCCAGGTCACTTGTCAACCGGGTGGTTAGGTGATTCAGCGTGTAGTGTTATCTGGACACTCGCACATACGCACTATCACAGCGTCTCTGCTTTCCTTCTTTCCTTCAAAGCTTTTTACAGGAGGAGGAAATCGCCGGGGTGCGTGAACTATCTCGCTTCCATTTATACACGCATTCCGGAGCTTCGAGCTTTCATCCCCTGCGAAAAATTGGGTTAGTCAGGTAATATGGGTTGCCGCATCACATGCCCCCTCTTGCTGGATGAGACTCGCTTCAAGTATTTCTACATACCTCTTTCTTTCTACAGAGCGACGTGTTCCACACATGATTTGTTCGAAGTTGATTCTGCGATGTTTTCAGGGTCGAGTAGCTGGTCGTATCGATGCATTCGTGCAGTCACTCGACAAGAAACTTCCAGGTTTATAAATTTTACCATTTTATCTATAGTGATTTCTTAGATTTGTTTCGTGTATTTTGAGAAAAAAACAAGCACATTGGAAAATTTATTTGAAACTTGATTTCCAGATCCGGCAAGATTTCGCAAATTTTTTCTTTAGGTTCCTGTTGGTGGAGCTATCATAGCAGTATTCAAGCAAAGCGCCATTAAGACAATAGCTCAATTCTCTGAGAGACCTCTAATATGTGGCTTGAACATTTTTGGAAGACGGTATGATAACATTGTCGTAGCAGTATGTTCCTGAACTTGTTTGGAAATGCTTCCACACTGGGACCGGACCGAGTGTAGGATATAGGAAAAAGAAATAAAGAAGAATATAAATGGATAGCTGCTTTTTGATGACCCTATTGTGGAACATTCACCATGGACGAGCGTGTTCAGGAGGATCGAAGCCTGCAGAAAGGATGTATTTCTTCATAAAGTTGGCTCGTATATGGGAGAAAAGGGAGGGGTGAGGTGGGGGTGAGGCGAGGACGGAGGGAGAAATAGCAGTCCCCTACAAAAGTGAGCCGAATGCCCGTGGTAGGTGGCGCTACTTCAAAGTGGGTTGATTTCGCAATGAAAGGTTTTCCAAGACTGCTCAAGGCTTGAAAAAAAAAACGGTAATGATGGTAGCGGCTTCTGTGATGGAATGGAATGGTTCACTCAGTGGAGGGCTCAGCATAAATTTGAGTGTACCATTGGCCAGTAGCTAGTTATTCGTTTTTGCAATGAGACAGCTGAAATTCAAAAAAAAAATGTGAATGAGAAAAGTTTTTTGGTCTGATGTAATATAAACAGTAGTGCACTGAGGCGAGGGCGAGGTTTATACCACTGTGGACGGGAAGGAGTTTGCGCCGTGAGTTCGTACTCCGTTTTCAGGATATCCCATGAGCAGGAGCAATTCGCTATGGTAACAAAAACACTTTTTAATATGTTCCGATTGTATGATCGGCACATGGGCTTCCATTATCACCTTATTGTGGCTACTTCGCTCAAAAACCGAACCAGAAGTGCGAAGGGTAGGATATTAAAGGAAAACGGATGAGAAACCGCTGAACCATCGCCGGTACCACTGGAAGAAGCACTTTTTCGATTCATGACGAAGCTACGGCGAAAAGCCACTGGGTGCCACGGAGAGAGAGCGGACGAGAGAGAGCATGGAAAACGTGCGAGGCGCAGACACGAGCCGTGTTGGCCGTCGTATCGCTGCAGCAGCATCGAGCGGAATGGCACAAGGCTCAAGCGCTATTGGCACAAAGTTGGCCGCAGGAGGACAGCACATATTCTTTCTTTATGGACTCTGTACCACTCACGGAAGGAATTAATCCTTCTAGCTTATCGTGTTAAACTAATCCTTCTAGCTTAATCGTGTTATATCCCTTTGAGTGCGTAAAAATCTAGGACATTTATTCGAAGCAGGTTTTTGGGATGAGACCATGGCATGAAACAGCCTGCATTTCAATTTTTCCAAACCAAATTTTGAAGGTCGTGCCTCATGTGTACCATCACGAGACCTAGTGCTCACTCTGCTACACCAGGGACGAAAAGGATTGCTGGAGTCTTACGATACGCAACGGAGGTTTGCCTAGCCACCATATTTAATACATACTTCTTTCGATGTTCAATATTCACAAAGCTGTCAATTTCCTTTACTTCAGGTTATTCAAAAAAATGAAAAGGCGTTTGATAGCGTTTGCGGCAGATATTGGTGAATGCGTTTACGATGTCGACGATAATCAAATAAGTCTAGGTATCTTTTTTGCGATCTAAAAGTTATGAGTAGAAAATTGTATTGGACTGCATCAATTCATAGCTCAACTAGCTGCTCAAACGAGTAGTTGAAAGTGTACAGGTTCCGTGGAAAAAACGCATTTTCGCCCTAAAAGCAATAGTTTATATGTCCACTTCATACAGGAATATGCGTGCGATGAAGGGAAGCTAGGCCTTCAAGCAAACGAGAGGTGCGTTTCGCGGTGAAGAGTGCGCCCATAGCGAAAAGGGTAGCGGCCGCATTCGCAGCTCTGCTCGCCTCGAAAGAGTCGACTCAGCTACTGTACCGTGTTCATCAGCGCTTTAGTTCTCGCACTAGAAAACCAGAGCCCTGAATTTACGTTGATGATTTTTGCCGTCGTTGAACATACCGCTGAAGTCAAGGGGAGTGAAAGGGTTTCCATTCCCCGAGTTGAGCCGTATCTCTTGCTACCTCCCCCACTGGTGGACCACTTAGCACCTCTACTTACATTCCCAATAGCAAGATAGTACTCACTGCCTTTAAATGCCATTGCTGTGATTTTGGGTAGCTTCTAAATATGAAGAAGCCGAAAGTAAGAGCAGTAGTGGAGCGCGCTCATAAAGTAAAGTGGAAAAGCAGTAGGTATTTCCTGATACATTTCTGGCGCTATCGTAAGGTAAGGGCACATTGTGTTTGCATTACACGTAAAACTGCGTAAAAACCACCTTTTCGTTAAAAACGGGAATAAGCCTCAGGCGAGGGAGAAGAGACTCCAGGGTACGTGAGTAATTTATCTCCCCGAAGTTCCTGCCTTCTTCTAGGCTTAGTTCTGGAAGATTTCCGTATCTTGCGATAGCGCCATATTTTTTTGGAAATTTTCACGGGAAATAGAATAAACTGGTGCTTTCATAATTATTTATAATATAATACAAATAATAATATAAATTAATAGAATACAAGTTATTTGAGTTATGACTTTCAAGTGGAGGCCTGGATAGCTTATTCTGCGACTAGGGAGTATGAGG